TCTTTAGAGGGGCCTTTTCTGACACAAAACTAGTCTCCTAGACTTGCCTTTGGTGTAGCTGCGATCAGAAAGGCAACCCTCTGCAGCCTCTATTAGTGCCATGGGACAGGGATGAGGCGTTTGCTGATTAGATTAGTCGCACTCTTCTGCTTCTCTAAATTGGTTTTGCAGTTGGTTTTTTCACGTCTGCATCCTGATGAAAGTGTCTGTGTGATAACCATACTGATGCTACTGATAAAGGTAATTATGATGTCAGTTGTTTGAAAGGGGGCATGGGAGGCCAGTGTTTTTAATTAAATCCTTTAGAAAGAACCTGTTAACAAGTTGAAGACTCAGTGTTTTCAACACCTTGTTTACAAGGAGGACCTTATATGTTTAATCTGGAAAACACCACTAGCCAGGGCACAGTGCCACCAAAGCAAGCGTTGTGGAAGAACTTTTCATTTGTATTTCAGTTGAATATCAAAACATTTGTTAATTTGTGTCAGGTGTTTTGTTTGTGCAATGTTTTACCTAAGCCACTTTGTGCCTTTTAAACATGGTTTTATGTCATAAGCATCTATACAAATTTCCAATTATTTCCAGCATTTCTGCAGTCTGTAAGTGTTTTTTAAAAGTCACAATATCATGTGTATCATTGCTGCCCAGGATAGGGCCATCCCCCTAGGTAGGACATCTGAGGTGGCATAAACCTCTTTGAGTGTCTCAACAGCTCAGTGGTAGAGCCTTTATTTGTGCTTGTTTCTTGTTCCTGTCATTGTAGGAGACAGCTGCTCTGAGCACCTAAAGCTCTGTATTGCGTCAACATACAGGCACAACTCCTAAATTGGACTCAATAAAAATTGGGCACATAGGATTAATAGCAAGTACATAGAGTTAATTTGCATCCATTGATATATTTCTGAGGATGAGCCCTACCATAGGCTCAAAAGGCAACTTGGTCAAGGCCTGCAGAGCCAGCGGCAGGACCCAATGCTGCAGCCTCTTAACCCTGGCGAGGCATAGCCTCCTGGCGCCACACAGAAACTGCACTGCTCAGTAATGCACACCAAGTGGCCTTCCATCAGTGTGGCCAAAGTTTAAAGATATTGCTGCCACATGAACCTTTATGGTTGAGGCAGCCGGGCCAGCTTAAAAAACTTGAAGTATGTTTGCCCTTAAAATGAAAGGAGACTGGGTCTAATCCTCTGTCCCTGCACCATGAAGAAAACACAGCCCAACATCAGCTGAGAGTGGCTGATCCCTTTAAGTGACCATACACGGAGTTGAGGGAGACTTGGAAATGGATACCCAACTTTCCCATCCAGCTGGGACTCCGGAGGAGTGTGCAGAACCATATTCTCACTCAAAGGAGGACCCTGTCGTCTGACAACTGCACACTGTGAAGCATAGGTGCTATCAGTGGGATTGAGTTTACAAGCTCTTAAGAGAAACCAATCAGTTACCTGGCACTGTGGCCAAGGGGAGTGGGCTCTGTCCTCATCTGGTGAGATAATCAGTGAGGCTATACACTGGTCCACAGGAGGCATGGAATCCAGGCCATATTCCCCTGCATTGTTCATGGAGGCCAGGGTCCTAGAATCACTGCCATGGTTGAGTTTATGCCTGCGGATCGGCCCTGCAGCACTTCAGCTCTTCCAAAAAAGCAGGTTAGGGAGGAACTTCAAAGGTGGGGCCACAGTTGCTCATTGAAAAAATGAGTTGCCCCAGATGTATTAATAAGAATGCAGTCGGACAAACAAGTGTATAGCCAGCCTGACTCATCCAGCCTGCTGCTAGCTTGTTCATCTGAATTGCAGATGTAGCCAGATAATCTTTTCTTTGGCTAACCACAGAACTAACCACTGAACCTGCAGCAAGTGGGGGAATTAAATTGCACAACAAACAATGTAGCTTGTGAGTGAGCCAGCACAAAGCCATGGATGCCTCAAAGGGCAACATATTACACCCTGAGCATAAAGTCACAAGCAGGATGACACCAACAGCACAGAGTGTGCTTGCCTCCCTTGCACCTGCAAGCAAAATACAGAACTAAAACAGATCTTTGGTCTGAATAACCTGCAGAGGATGGTAGGCTAACTGCAAGAAGCTCAAAGAGGCCGAATATAGGCTACCATATGGTATTTATAGCTGGGATGCGCAGGTAGCCACCTTGTTGTTTATATGAGATCTCGACCAATGCGGGCTTATCTACTTTGTTTACTGCCACTATCAGTCAGGAAGGGATGAAACAGAGCCTATATCTGATTCTTGGGGATATGGTCATGTTTATATATGCGGATGGAGGGCTGACTGTTACAGAGGCAATGTGGAAACTGGGCTACCGCCAGTTCAACCGCTCAGTGGCCTGTACAGCTCGGTTCCATCCTTGTGTGAAGAAGGAAACATGGGTTTCAGTTTGATAAGAGGCTTGGCAACATCACCTATTACCAGGTTCCTTGTTGTGGTCAAGTACTAAGATGAGGCCCATCTTGGTTTGCTTGTGGCTGCTTGTTTTCTTTTCTGCGTTGTACTCTAGGATCAAATAATGTGACGTGAAAGGTAGGATGTTAATAGATGTGAAACAAGTGCTATTAATAAAGTTAAGTTTGACGCTATTGCACATGTTGCGCCTTTTCCTCTGTTGCTGTTAATCTCACCCTCTTGACACCACCTGCCTTCTCCACCTCTCTCTAGCCTTCTCCCACTGCTGTAAAGACGCTGGTTTCCTCATGGCGTTCAAGTGTCGAGAGGAGAACGCAGCGCTGAAGGAATGTCTCACGATACAGTGAGTATTTTGCAGTTTCCTCTGCAACACCCAGCACTCATACAGTAAGGTGTGTTATCACACCAACATCTTTGACATGGTATTACCCACTTTCTCTGGCACCTTTGCCCACGCTCTGAACTGTTGTCTATCAAGTATCAGGAGTCTCAAACCTGTATAGGCACCATCAAAGGAGGTCATACAAGGCTACATTAGTTCTGTGAAATAAACACTGTACCTTCTGTCTTACAGCTACAAAGACCCCGGCTTCTATGAGCAGTGTAAGCAGGAATACATCCAAGAGAAACTGGAGTTTGAGAGGACAGGGGTCGCATCAAAGAACAGGAAACAAAAACTCCCAACTAGCATGTAATGAGCAACATGGCACCCAAACAACTTCTCTCCTTTGAGCGCAAAGGTGCGGGATGTGAGGCTTTGGCCAGAACCAGCGCTTAGTTCTGCATACCCAGGACACATGGTCATCTGTCATGGTTTATTACTCTTAAAGGCACCAGACTGTGCACTTCATTTAAATCTGTGGAGTGACTGAAACTGGTTTGGTGTGCAAGAGTGGTATATAATCAAAACAATGGCTTTTTTTGGTTCTGTGTATTTGCAACATGTTCTACATCAGATTGCCAGAAGATCGGCAGCACTTCCATTACATTTACTAATCAGCTTATTCACAGAATATACAGATCTGATCATACAGTCACCTCCTGTACCTAAACCTGAAAGATCTTCATTAGAGTGTAGAGCTTTAGCTTTGAATGTGTGCAGTCATAATTCAGGGATGATTAATATATTATTTGCCAAGCAAAGATGTAGCATATATAACTACATCTTTGCCTGGCCTTACAGCTTGGTATTTCATCTGCAGAAGAAAGTGGAAGGCTTCTTTTGTTATCAAAAATAATTTCATAAACAGTTGGAAATTTAAGATGCTTGTACAGTGTATGTAAGTGAACAATGCACCATGTGTGGTCTTGTGATATATGCAATGAATTGTGGCATTGTAAATAAAAATATTCAATAGCAATAAAGTGTATATCAGTGGTAAATTAGATGAAACACAATGTTAATCAATGCATTTTGTTCAGATAAACCTCTAACATCCTCTGTTTTATTCAGTTAAACATGAATGATTTTTAGAGGTTTCTTTACACTCTTGACAATTGATCTTTAATGCCTGCAGTGCACTGTGTATTTAAGTTCAATTTCAATTTAGCACATTCAAAAGAAAGCTGGAAATTTCTAAGCATTTACTGATTAAATTGTTTTTTCTTGTTGGCTTTATTGCATTTTGATATTGACAGTGAGCCGAGTGTCAGCCTTACATTTAGATCACATTAACACAACAGTTTGAAACCAAATTAACATCTTAATTTAATAAGAATTGTGAAGGACTGATTAATTTAATCATTTGTGCTTATTTTTTAATGAAAAAAATTAAAAAGTAAAAATCTATTTTAATTTTCTGTTCCATTTTAACCAAATTTTTTCACTACTTTTTCTGTCTTCACTGTTTTCATAAATACAGACTGTCCTTACATATGCTTTTTCTTCTGTATCTGTAATTCCAAAGAGCCAACGATGGCATATAATGAGGTAAAGAGTAAGTGAGCTACTGTAATTGGGTATTCATGTCATTCATAACATATAGTGTAGATACAGTATATCCCGACTGAATTTGTTTTTCTCTTGATCTTTTTTGGTGACAGCAGAATTGACTCCAGTTGTAATTCATGGCTGTGACAGGACAGGTGACTGAGGCTGGCTGCCCTACATTTAAGATAATTGAAAATGTAATGCTAAATTATAAGTATTATAATAATTATAAGTAGACATTTTTCAGTTAGTTTGTATATTGGCAAATGCCAGTCGCCAGTCTTCAGAGCCTAGAATTATGTTTTGAAATTGCTTGTATGCAACATTTCAAAACCCTTAGATGTTCAGTTCATAACAACATGACTAAGAGAAAAGCAGCAGATTCTCCTATTGAGAAGCCAGAGCCCTGAAAATTGTGGCACGAGCCATTAGCTGATAAAATGATCAGAAAATGAGCTTAATAATAAAAGTACTGCTTCAGCCGGGGCATGGACACTCTGTTTCAAAATATTAAGTGAAAAATAAATATCTATGAGGACAGGAAGCGAAACAAAGTAACTGTAGCTTTATCTGTATACATCAAAGCCTCCAGTTGTACTGAAACACAGATACTCATTGCTAAAAATATGAATAGAGACAGAGCAGCTTCACACAGTAACTTCCTTTCCTTTGTTTAATTGATCATATTTACAAACAGTCTGAAGTGCAGTAAATCTAAAATATAATCCATATCTACTGTACATTGCATTTTGGTTTGCAAATCGTTTACAGAAGTATGAAACTACTGCTGTAAAATAACATTTCTTAAAAATGAACAAAAAGACCACAGTTATCATGAAACAGACCAAAGAAAAATGGAAAAACAAAAGTCTTTTCAACAACCATGGGCCTTTGTGCTTTGTGCACCTCTTAGTCAAGTCACAGCTCACATTTCTTCAGGTTAACAGACGCATTGTCTTGTCACCATCACAGACAGCTCGTATACACATCATAAGTCTTGGGGGTAGGAGAGGAAAATAAAAACAAACCTATGGTTTGGAGTGCAAAACCGCGTTTGGCAGAGTACTGAAGCCCACCATATACATTTATACAGATATGCACATACTTCCCTCTGTGTATCTTTGTATTCTACGCGTAATGTGTTTTCTTTTGTACATCAGTCAGTTGTTTCTACTCATCTGACTTAAAAAGAGAAACCAAAGAGAAACTTCCCTCTTCACACAACAACTTACCTCATACTGCAAAACAAATGTATCATAGATTAACATCAGCACAGTACAGAGTTTAGATACATTTTCTATTATTCAAAATCTCAACAAACCTCATCAGGTTTCCAACCTAATCTGGGTTTCAGATACAGGGGAGTGTGTGGAGCTTTTTCATGAGTCCTTCAAATTTAAAAAAAAAACAACAACCCAAAAACACATCCAACAAAGCACAGCCTCACATCTTACAGGTTCCTTTACAACAGAGAAAAGAAAACAACACAACAGATATCGTCTGACAGCAGTTCTGAGAGAATTAAATGTGTGATAACAGGCAGGTTTAAGGAGGCTTGTTTCGAGTTGTGAAATTTCTGTGGAAATCAGTTGATCCTTTTCTGGTGCCGGTGAGGGTGCAGTGTGTCGTTTCAGAAAGCAGTACATTTTTAGATTAAAATTATTTGCTACTCATTACGCAGTGTCCTCAAAAATCCAAATACTGTAAGTGCATTCTCAAAAATTATTTGGTAAGCATAAGTAGATTGACAACCTACTCAGATACTGATCCGTAAGGACTCTGATGAAAAGGGGGGGAAAGATGCCATTTGGTAGCTGTTAAAGTTTGGAACATAAATCTGATTATCCTACAGTTACTGTATGTCTGTCTCCATCGCAGTACAAAAACACATTAAGTCCTCATACCTAGACACCTCCTTCACACGATCATGAGACATACATTGGACTACATACCTTTTATACTTTACAACGATCAAATTTAAAAAGACTTGCATTGGAGGGAGTACAGTTTACAAATCCTAGTACAATGCTGTGGCCCCAGTGATCACTGGCCACAGTGAATGGAGAAAGAGGCCCTTTGAGCCCTATTAGGTTTATTATGACGATATACAGATACAGGCAGGCGAAAGATGCCCGCACACTGATCTGCACGCACAGGCACACTCTGTTTGATGTGTGTATACGCACACACAGAAATAAAACTGCTTGTATGCATGCTTGCACACACTTAAGCATGTGCATACAAGGACACATACACACCGACAAACTATTTGTTCTGCTGAGGGTCTCTCATCAAATGCTCCTCTGCGAAGTCCGATATGTTCACCGATGCGGTGTGCAGAGATAACAGCGTAATGAGTTTACAGAGTCTGTACCTCAAAAAGGCCTCCTCTGGCCTCAATCAGTCCCCACAACCAGCAGGTCCAGTGCAGTCCAGCCCAGAGGAGTGGTCTCATCAACTTAAGGCAGATTAGGTGGTAGCTATGTGGCAGGGTTGGAGTCCGTTCATTCATCCACTGTTTTTTTTTCCATCCAATTACACACTCTATTTAATCATCTATTCTCCCATTGAAGTTCCTCTCAATAGGGCTTGGCCCACTCGGCATTGGGAGGGCTCCTGGGACCGCAGTTTCCAATAGATGATGAGGAGTTGGATGCAGCGGAGTGTCCCTCCCAGAACATGGCATCACTGGGTTTGGGGGGGCTGGGGAAGGACCGTGAGCTGTCATCCAGGGAGGCTTGGTTCAGGGGAGGTGGCGGCAGGACGACGGAGCAGGTGTCGCTGCCGACCAGAGCCTCTCCTGAACAGCTGTGGGAGGGCCAGGGCCCATTGTACCAGCAGTCCTCCCTCAGACTGTCCGGCAGCAGGGTGCCCGACGGCCCGCAGATAGGAGGGCAGGGCCGGCCGGAGCACGAGGGGAGCGGGGGGGCACTAGGGGGGCGAGGCACTGATGCCCGAGGAACTGCGTGATGGTGGTTGTTCTTTTCCACGTCGTCCAGACACTGAACTGGAACTGTTGAGGCAGCTAGAGGCAGAGAGAGGGGGGTGGAGGATAGAAGCAGAGAAATAAAGGACAGAGAGAGGATGGAAGCAAAAGACAAAAAAAAAAAAAATTAGATGTAGTCTTAGACATTGTTGCAGAAATGCTTATTAGAGCCTGCCAATGTTTGCCTTGCATTTCCGAGAAATATATTTTTTAAAACAAAACTTTGATTGTCATTTGTAGAAATAATATTTATATTATCATTTCTACTAATTTCATTGTCATGATATGGGGACATGGTTACATTACTGTAATAGCTTTAGCAAAAGGCATGAAGAGACCCATTGCCAAAAGCTGGCACTGGATGCTCAGGCAGATTTTTGGTTATTTTTACCCATTCTTTGATCATATATATTACCAGATTCAAATATATATATATATCTGTTAAGTTTCACACAATATTTTATTTAGACAAAGTTATTGCATGGCTGAGAAGACAGAATGAAAAAGCTTTTCACTACCTTAATATTGGGAATACAGTTCAATTTGAGTGCACGTCAGCAGCAACTGTAGACACATTGATAGAGCACAAAAGATCATGGGTGTGATACTGAAGGATAATTCAGAGCAAGTTATTCGTGATGTCTGGAGAGTTTATATCTGGCATTAAATATGGAATTTAGTAGACATACGTACGTCTGCATTAACAGCTGTTTGTCAGAAATGGATATGACTGAACATTTACTTTTCAGCTTTCAGTTTATTTCTGCCATCCATTTTAAGTAGGAACAGAAAAGAAAAATACACAAGAACCGTTTCTTTCCACAGGTGTCACTATGATAAACACTTAAAGCTACAGTTGGTAACTTTTATGAACTTTGTGTCATATTTTCTGTAACTCACTATAATCTGAAATAAGTATATGAGACAGATAGTCTGTGAAAAAAATCAAGTTCCTCCTTCTTTTCTTGCTGCTCACTAATGGCAATTTACAGTGCCGCACTGAAAACAACCAATCAGAGTTTAACAAAGCTGTCAGACATGTAAATCACTGCTCATGTATGGTCAAACTAACTGTAACGCTTCTAATGGTTTTACCACAAGTAAATGCAAACAACCAATCAGAGCCGAGGAGTCTTTAGTCCAGCTGTCACTCATATCAATCACTGCTCATGTGTGGTCAAACTTTCAAACTAGGCAGCGCTAAGGAAACATGAATCAAAATTCTGTTACTGCATTGCCTGTTTCTTGCCTCAAATGTTGTGAGGAACATTTGTTAGTGCACTGTTTAGCTGTAAAAGGAGAACTTTTTACAGCACCAAGCAGTCAGACGAACTTTCTAATAGAATCTTGATTCATATTTGATCAGCGCAGCCTAGTTTAACAGTGTGACCGCAATGAAAACAACCAATCAGAGCCGAGGAGTCTCTAAAGCAGCTGCCAGTCATGTCAATCACGGCTCGAGAACTGCGGTCAAACTGTCAAACTAGGCAGCGCTGATCCAATATGAATCAAGATTCTATTATCAAGTTTGTCCGACTGCTTGGTGCTGTAAAACATTCTCATTTTACAGCTAAACAGTGCACTAACAAATGTTTCTCACAACATCTGAAGCAAGAAAATGGCAATACAGTAACAGAATCTTGATTCATATTTGATCAGCGCAGCCTAGTTTGAAAGTTTGACCACACATGAGCAGTGATTGATATGAGTGACAGCTGGACTAAAGACTCCTCGGCTCTGATTGGTTGTTTGCATTTACTTGTGGTAAAACCATTAGAAGCGTTACACAGCAGTAGAAGGCAGAGGAAATGATTTTTTTCGCAGATTATCTGTCTCATTTTGTGCTGTGTCGATATTGTGACAGTTTCAGCAAATATGACAAAAAGTTATATATACATAAGTATATAAGTTACCAACAACAGCTTCAACACCTGTCCATAATGTCTGGAACAATCTTGGTGCAATAATCCTTTGTTGCCAGGTGTCCATCTTACCTGTATATCATATATTCATATTCATAGTCCAAAAAAATAAGTGTTCTTCAAAATGTCAATATCATCACTATCAATCCATAAGCATTGCTGTATACAACTGTATGCCTATTTCTGTGCTTGTACATGAGAGCAACAAAAACAGAGTCAAATCCATTATGTGTTATGTGACACACTCCAGGACTATTTTGATTTTGATTAAGTGTTCAGATAACATAATTTAAAAAAATTTTTTTTTCAAATTTTCTATGTATAAGGTGGTGAGAAGTGTGTGTGAAAACACGCCTGTTTGTAAAATCCAGTTAGTAGCATAAATGAAGCCATTCTGTCTTTCTTCAACAGTCTCCTTTTGCACCATGATCGCACCTCTGCACTTGTTTACACGTTGATTAAACTTAGGTTTCTAAGGAGATTTCAGACTTACAAGTTGCGTTCAACAAGCCCTTAGATCCCCAAATAGAAAATAGGCCTCATCTTGTAAAACAGAGAAGAGAGGTAAAATCTCACACCATGCAGCAGGCTACATATTATACAATAAAACCTCTGCAGCATGTAAATACCGCAGTGAATGCGTAAATATCCAAAATAATAATTAGGTTTTGTTCACCAGAACAAATCAAACAAACCCCTATGCATAAACTAAGCCACACTTTTATTCCATACAAAGCATATCAATACACAAATCAGATGTCCTAATCTCACACACACATCATTGCCTTGCTATCAAATCATCATCTTGAGCGAATAATAAAGTTTAAATGAGTATCTCCTCCTGCTTTTCTCCCCTGCCTCTCTCCATCCACACATCATCTATCCATCCATCCCTCCCCACTACTCTTCCATGAGAGGGTCTCCTGAGTCTAGGATTTGAATAAAACTGATTCCAAAGGAGGAACATAAGAAGAATACAGATGCACAATATGACTGAATAAATACATAGCTCACCCCCCCCTCTTCATCTCTCTCCGTTTCTTTCCTTATTTCTCCTCATCTGTCTCATCTAAGTTACAGGATTACCCTGTTATTCAGTGGAATAAATAGGCCAAGATTTATTTTCTTGCCATATTTCGTTCTAATTTTCACCTCCTAGTCCGCTCTTCTGACACTCGAAGGGAATCGACAACAGAGGTAATCTCTCCTGGGGTAGAATACATCATCACAGAGGGAGGGGAGAGGCGGGACAGACTATTTCGTGATGTCCTTTAGCAAAGTGTTTGAGTACTTTGATAATATCCACAGTCTTATCACACCCTCATACAAATTGCAACAAGGAGCAGCAGGAGAAATCTTTTCAGTGAGTAGTACTTCTTCTCAGAAAAGCCTTCCTTTAACAGAAGAGAGACAGCAGTACCCCCTCGTCTTTCGTTTGATGTTAACCACATTAGTTCCTGTGTAGAGAGACGAGGTTTGGATTCCAGCCACTGTGCTTGAAGTGCACATAAATCTGACACTACCTGACACTCAGGTTATAGAGACATTTTCAAATGTCACACTGGTTAAATACGCCAGAGCTTGTCAGTATATTTATGTCTCATGACAGACTCAGGGTTGTTATATGATTTCTAACTATAGTTTTTAACTTTACAATTCAAAGATTAGTTTTCTTTTTTAAGTTGGGTACAGACAGCTTATGTAGAGAGCACACTCTGCCTTCATTATTCAGTTGTATGGGAGAAAATTAGCATTGAACACTATCAGGTTGGAATCAAAGGTTAGTTAATATATTTTTTGTCAGAAAAACATATTTAAAAAAAGTTAAAAACCAACAAAAAACTAGAAGAGCACTCAGAGAGTGAAGTCCTCTGCCAAAGCCAAAAGCCCTACTTTGCAATGTTAACGAAATTGGAAAAACAATTGTTTATCCGCCCCATGATTCAGATCCACTCCCAAATTTGGTAGGTTCTTCCTTGGCTCATGCTACACTCTTTCACCAAGTTTCATAAAAATCAGGCCAGTAGTTTTTCCATAATTCTGGCGACAGACAGACAAACAAACTGAACCAAAAACATAACCCTCTTGACAGAGTAACAAGTACCTGTGCAATTAAGGAAAAAGCAAATTGATTTTTGTTTTTATACTAGTCTGGGAGACTTAAGGAACCTGATAAAAAACATTTCAATGCTTCACTGCATCTCAGTGGTAGCCTGTGTGAAATTGCTCTAAGGGTATACAGGGGACACAGGATGCTCTGCATTCTGTATATGATGGAGGTGGGGAGGTGTGAAAAGGCAGAAGGGAAGCAGTGCTGGTGGGTTATCATATATACTGAAACCAGCACAGATATTAAGATTGAAGTTGTTTGTATCAACATATACGGTGACCACAGCGGGACCCTGATTATGCCCACATTTTGTGTGCATAGGTGTGTGTGCCTCACCTTGTCTTGTCTCACTGATGAGAGGCCTGAGTTTCCTTATCAGGCCCGTTTGGTGCTTCAGCTCTGAATGAAGACGAGTGACCTCGCAGCACAAAGCCTCATACGTCTGCTGCATGTTCCTCTCCCTGCAGGAGAACAGAAGATTTCATTTTAACATTTCTGCTTTTCTAGACAGCCTGTGTTGTTAGAAAGATCCAACTGTCAGAAAGGATCTCATGTGGTTATGATCATAAGCTTTGTGGCGCATAGTTTTACTTTGGTACCATTCAAATATCCTTGATATTATTGGACTTACTCAAAAGGAAGGCACTTTGTGTTCTTATTCTTCATTTAAACTCAAGGAAAGTTTAATTTCACCTGTGTGCTGACACTCCAAAATGTAAAACTGGCATATCCATTTGATCAAATTTGATAGGATATATAAACACAGAAACCTTGTCTATTTAGCAAATTTCAGAAATTCCTTCCTTGTATATGCTAATTAATTTAACACAGTCACCTGCTGGTTTAAATCCACACGAGACAAACTACTGATGGATTAAATGCTAAACCACCCAGTATCATCAGCTGCTCTACAAACCCACACCATAGTTTAAAAAAAAAATGGGGGTATTTGAGGCAACGCCTACAAACTATCCTATCCACACCTTATGTAAAGATGCAAAATCTCATCAACACTTAGCGTTAACTTCAAACACATGCCTGAAACAGCAAATAAAAAAAAAATTGAGAAGAGATCGTGAAGAGAAAAACTGAGGAAAAACTGGAGCTTTTTGTGCTGCTAAAAACTAACACCATATGAAAACTGCTGACACGTGAAACAATTAGGATGCACCACAAATAGAATTTTCTTCTTGAAATGTGAGACAATGCTAATTTACAGGAGATTATCTTCACTGAAAATGTAGGTGGAGGGCAATTCCATATGCTATAGACTGTGTATACATCAAAACACCAGAGTGCCAATTTAAACTGTTTGTAATGGACACAGGTGTTAAGGATTTAGCTGGTGCTGATCACGTACCATGTCCAGGTACTTCTGAGGTTATCTGCATATCACAGGCTGTTATACAGAGTTAAAAATGTGTAAAGCTGCACCCTCCTCTAGTGGCCAAATGGAGCAATTACAACACCAGCGGACACCATGCAGTGTATAACTGTGACATCCCATGCTCAACAATACAGCTATCTAACCAGTGTAGTCTCTTTCTAATAGCATTTCTTCATGTCACAGCTTCTAACTTTCTTACAAATGTTTTCAGGCTCATTCTGGTGTTTTAACTATAAGACATTGCTAAATTATCCCTATGCTTACTTTCTAAGGAGCAGCTGAACTCATTTACCATCATGTTTAATGTAAAGTCTGTTGTCTGAAGCCATGATATTGCATTTGCAGTTAAAAGACAGATTAGAAATGTCTTCCATGTGTTCCATTTAAGTGCACATGGAAAGCACTGCATTCACAAGCTGTCAGAAAACAAAAAATGATCAAGCATGGACATTTTGAAAAGGATAACTACCTGCATTTAAAAGCCTGCTACTGAGCAGCAAACTCCAGTATCTCTGGAGTCTACGTTAGGGTAAATAAATTCAAACTGATTTGCTGCATGAGAAGCAAATGTATTTAAAGTAACAAAGACAGTAATAAACACTTTATTTCTCCATTGTTTACACTCATGGTTGCTTATGATGAAAATCACCAACTGAGGAATCATCATTTTATTTACCACTGCAACAGTGAATTCTTGCTTTGTCATTTCTGGTCAACGAAATGAGGGCTGTGCACTGGATATGTATAAAACACTATACCTTGCATTATACTTTGCATCACAGGTCTGGTCCAAGTCTGGTCCGTTAAGGCCATGGGGTTCCTCCTGAAACAGAGTTAAGTTATGCAATATAGGGAGTGTCTGAAGTTGTATTTTTGTGCTCTTTATTATAACATAACTTAGGACTCCTCCACTCTCCTTCAACCTCTACTCTCCTTTATATTTGTTTATCCCCTGCATCCTTCGGCAATTCATCTTCTACTGTTTAAGTTCAAACATATCCTCCCCTGCCCCACTTCTCTCCACTACTCTGTGTCAACCTGTCTGGCTCTGCCCTAACACCTCGCCTCCTCTCCTCTAGTTATACCACATCTATCCAAGAGCAGTGCTGTCCCTCTTATCTTGCACCTTTTTTCCTTAAAGGACCTCATCCTTTCTTCCCAGCTTTACTTACCCCACTTCTCTCCAGCAGTCTACTGTTTTCCAGTGTCACTCTCTCCAGCTCCTCCTGCAGTTTGTGGATCTTTAGCTCGGTGCTGACTCTGTCCACCTGCCAGTAGTCCTGAGGGCTGTTCAGGCTTTTCATCACTGGATACACACAATTAAAAAGACAACTACTGAATTTCATTCAGTATAAAAGACATATCCTCATAATTATCACTTCAATTATAGTGTTTGTTGTACTGTAATTGTAATTACAATGAATCATGTACTTGGTGAAATAAAGTAGTAAATATAGAGCAATACACTTTAATATGTAAAGCTGATATGGTTTTATACAGTGGTCAAAGAAGTCCTGCATTCACATTTTACTTAAATAAAAATATATCAGTATTCTCAGCAAAAATTATTAAGTGTATAAAAATTAAAAGTGTTTCTTATGCAATGGCCCCTTTCAGAGCAATATAAGTTGTCGCTAGTCAAGGTGGAGCTAATTTCAAATAATTTCTATGCTTTGACGTAATTAAATCTACAAAAAACATAATATTCTATACGTTTATCACAGATTCTGTAAGTAAAATCTTAATTTGAAAAGCCCCTTGTAACTACAGTACAGCTGTCACATTAATGAACTACAATAATTCCTTCTGAAATGCAGTGTAGTAGAAGTATTGAGCCATATAAAATGTAAATGATAAACACACAAGTGGAGTCAATGTAGCTTCCTACTGTATTTGTTCCTTTAGAGCATCATATACACAGAGTAGAAGACAACCATGTGTGCTCTACCTTTACCTTGGCTGGTCTCCATCTCCGTCCTCAGCTGAAGCAACTCCAAGTCTTTGGCCTGGAGCTGCTCTGTCAGCAACCTCTCACTCTCGCTCTTCTCCTTTTTCTGACAGAGAAAAAGAGGTGGGGGAGGAGATGAAGGGAGCATCAGCATTCATACCAATGCACCAAACACACACTGTCTCTCTCTGCCCCAGGTAAGATCGGTGCACCTGTGCTGTATTTGTGTAACAGTGTCATAAGCTTGGTGTTTCTACTTTGAGATTTGAATCAAAATTACTGCAAAATTGTTCAAAACACACTCTTTGTTTTCCTTAAACACATGCATGTGATTTCAGGTTTGCAAAATACTTCATCTTTGTGCCAGGCTCTAGTCAGTTTGAGGAAAATTAAAATGAAACAGTTAACGCACCAGTTTGTTAAGCTCCATCTGCAGGTCCTCCTTCTCTATATAGATACCTCGGTAAGCACTGAAGGCCTTGTTCACATACTGGGGACCCTCTGATGGAGGAGCCTCTGGCCTGAAGAGCTACAGCGGAGAGAGATAAAACACACAGAGAGGAGACGGGAGATCAATTTCATTTAATTCACATGTCTGTGGTAGGAGGTTACTTTGATCCCACCACATCCTATCTTGATGGACCAAATGCTGCAGCAGATAAAACCAAAAGTGATAAGAGGAAATTAGACACAGAGACCAGAGAGACAACTCTGCCCACATGTTGTGCAGCACTTTCACTTTAGCCCGCCATCTGTATTAAGACCCTTCCTGCTTAAAAAGCTCTGTCTGTATTATACTCCATCCTTTGTTTATGCGTGTGTTTTTTTTTAATCCAATTTCAGGAGCCAAGTGTAGCGCTCCAACACATTGTTTGGCAGTACCATACTTTTCCAGAACCCCTCTCTGTTTTTAGACAGAGCAGATTTATTTCGCATTGTTTTAAAGCTTTGACTATAGGCCAACAATATTAATGATGCTGGCATGCACACTCTCCCAGAGGCAAATATTTTGCAGTTGAATCTGCTGAGGTTTTTAAACTTTCTCTGAGCATTTTATGTCTGTTCATAATTCTGATGTCCTGGAAAACAGCTTTCTTTCACCTCTCAATAGTACACACCCCTTCTACACCTTGCTCTCTGGCTTTCATCATCTGGATGAGCAGTATGTTCTTTTACATCATTCTCTCATATAGACTCTCTCATCATTCTATTATCTCTCTCTTCCATCTTCTCCTAGCCTCTCTCCCACCATCACCCCTTTGTTTACGTCTATACCTTATCCTCCAGCTGCTTAACCCTCTTCCTCAGCAAGGTATTCTCTCGCTCTGTGTCTCTCAGCCTCTTCTTAATGTCCTCATAGGCTGTGACCAGGGCGAAGTGGGAAGCGACGGATTCATCGCCAGCGCACACTGATACAGGACTCTCGCCAGCGGCGGTGTAGGCTGTCTCGTGTTTAAGGATACAAATGTCATCTTCCACTGCCAGGGGCTCCATGCCTGCACAGGCCTACTCTGACGCAGATAGAAGACCTGGGGATTACAGAAAGAGTTTCATTTTCACAGTGAGAAAGCCAAAGAACAATAAAATGACTGAATTAAACAAAGTTCCGTTTCGGTTTGAGAACTTAAATAAGCACCTGCTATCATAAAGCATTTGTTTTTCCTTGTGTTTACGACACACTGGCTTACTAAGTAACTTTGTGACTAGTTTCTGCACATTATCGTGACATGATAAGGATCTGCTATATTTTATATTACATAGTTCACAGATCGTTCTGCAATAAAACAGTGTCACAGAGCTGTAACATTGCTCAGTTGATGACACTTGCTGCAGGAAATGTATAATGCATCATTTCCTGTGTGCAAGAGACATTTTTACAAGGAACGAGCTGCCTGAGGTTAAGTGTTAGAATAACAGCAAATGCAAAAAAATCTCTCTTTCTCTCTCTGTCTCTCTCTCTCTATATATATACATATATCATGAATGATGATTGGTTTGTTGTGGCAGTATATTGAAATCCAAACCTGTTTGACACACAAATTAAATGAAGTGTCAAGGTATGTTAACATGGACACACACAAAAGTCGAGCACAATGATTAAAGCTTAAGCAGCAGCACCTCATATATGTTGTTTAGTCTGAATCCGAAAAGAAACTATGATTAACTGACAAGAGTTTCAGCTTAAATATGATGGGTCAACCTATTGTAAAAGTTTGTTCGACAGGTGTGTTTTCTTTCATCATTACTTCATGCTGGACTTCATCAGAAGGTCTGGAGCTGATTCTAGGTGTGACTAGGCTGTTTGAGATGGGCCTCATCAGGCCACATATGAATAAACTCAGTGCCGCCACCATCAGGCCTGCTATTGTACCTTGAGCAGAGTTGACACAACCTCCACAAAACTTTAAACCTGTGGCTTATTTGAACAGTCTATTCCTGTTTAAAATATATTTATACATTTGTGAGTATTTGGCTACTATACAAATGAAGATGAGAGTAAAAGTGTGCAAACATCTACACATTTTAATAAAAAAAAAACATTACAGCATTTGCAGTGGGGTTATATAAACAATGCCAGATCTATAATAGTGTGCATGAGGTCTTTTGGGGGAGTTTTTCCTTATCCGCTGTGTGGGTCCAAAGGGCAGAGGGATGTCGTATGCTGTAAAGCCCTGTGAGGCAAATTGTGATTTGTGATATTGGGCTTTATAAATAAAACTGATTGATTGAAATTGATAGTGCAGCTGCTGTAAGGAAATTTGTGATACTGTAGTTTAGGCACATGGCATTTGATCCATGACTGCTTGCTTGAGTGCTTAATACAAAGGTATACTTCTATTGTAAGCAGGTGCAGAGGACCTGTTGTTACAGGTCTATCATTCAGACCATCTGACTCTCAGCAGGAATTAAACCAGTCCAGTCAAGCTTCCTGGAACTGATATACCAGTAGACTGAAACTAACCTAAACCCCACACCCTCCTTGTATCTGTTGGAGCTGCTGGGCAGTAGAGACGGTGCAGCCAACGCTGGGTGATGATGTCAGCATGCAATGATGCAGCAAACACTGAGGAGCCAAGTTTTTAATACTGAAGGCCGAAGCTTTTAGAAAAATAAGTTTTAAGAGCACAGCTGGACATGCTATGAGATCCATGCCGTGGATACAGAGCAAGAAAAAACACAAACGCCGGGCCGCTGACTTTAAAGGACGACTTGAGAAAATGTATGAAATCGAAAGTGACCCCAGATAGTTAAAACGAAAGTCAACGTGAATTCAAAACAAGGCAGGAATAGCAGCGTCATTTCGTTCGACCTCCCTGATAAAATATAAAAGCTAACAGCTAGCAGGGTAATGACAGCAACGAAGAGACCTTGTTAGGTTCATATAAGACACTGAAAAGCTGCCATAATTGGGATGTAAACAATCAATGACTCTCGTTTGTAAACGATGCTAACGTTGTGGTGCTAGCTTCCGTGAGCTCTGTTGACAACCGACAAAACACATTAACAGTTAGTTCTAAAATATCTGTCAGAGTAAATAACACAATAAGCAGACAATGACCTAGACGAACATAACACATGTATCAACAGATACGGTGATTAAAATGATCGATCTGTTGATGATAACAGTTAGCTAGCTCTTAGCTAACGTCTCCTGGCTATTTGCGGCTAGGTGAAGCAAAAGCAGTCGATTATTTTCCCCTCTCGACTCTCACCCACCGTGTTAGACGCTGTCCTCAATTGGGTGACTGTTGACCACACAGGATTATCATTTAGTCTTGAGAAAAGAAGGCCAGTTTCTCGGAGAAAAACAAAGAGACGAGGCTGGACTCTCGCACCGTGTCAGAACTGACAGGTGAGGAAACAAAAACTTCCGGGAGTCACTTGACTGCTGAAGTCCTTTCAAAATAAACGCACGATGTAAATAGAAATGAGTGATAATAATACTCGTGGCCTGCTAATTTGTGCACGTTTAGGAAGAACATAATCATTAATGAATGAATTATCTTAGCTGGACAACATGTAAAAGAGGAGGAAGCTTTGCTGCAAAATAAAAAAATATATATATAGAAAAAGTAATAATATACTGATGAGGCTTCCAGTCGATAGCATGAGCCTATTCAACTAACATTTTATTTTATTTATTTATTATATTTAGTTTGATGTTGATGTTCCTGTGTATAACGTCATGTGGACCTGATGGTGGTACCAGAGTAAAAGTCAAGGGTCATAAAAGTCTCAGGTTGGTAAGATATCAATTAACATTACCCAGGGCCGGCCAAAGTGGCTAGCGGGCGGACTATCTAACGTTAACCTTACATCCTAACAGTTTCCATCCACAGCTAACTAAAGACGGCGACCAGTAAGTTGAGCACCGATACAAATAAACGAAATATAACCAACTTAAGGTACTTTCTAGAGCAACTTTTGTACGTCTGACTATAGGAACAGCTGCCTCCTAACCTGCTAGCTTAAGGTTAATTTTTACTTTAATGGTAGACAGGACGGACAGGACTGCGTTACCGTTACTTTTAACAACGTTAGCTAACAATGCTAGTATTTGTTCTCTTGCTAAGTTAAAGTAAGATTACCTTCCACGGACACTCCCAACATGTAACGTTAGCTGTTAATATTTTTGTGAAAAATACATGAAAATAATATTTTAATATGACAAAACGCAGATTTTATTATATTATCTGGCACTTCTTGTCACTCTTTCGGCCGGTAGGTAACGTCAAAAGTTAGCCGTGTAGCTAGCAAGCTAACTGTTAATCACCAAAGTAAAAATGTAAGGCTAGCTTAAATGTCATCTTTGTTTTTGGTTATCACACATACATTTTTGTCAAAATTGCTTTAATTGTCAATTGAAGTGATGCAATATTGTAATATATTTATGTATGTATGATTAAATATATATCTACTTTTGAAATTATAACCAGCCTTATACTGTTGCGACTTATTTTGTCCAGCATTGCACAGCTAAAGATTAGCGTGGGTCAAGCCTCTAGTTAAAGGGAGACTGCTTCCATTTTCAAAATTTATACATCAATCATATGGTTTAAGGCAGTCCAAAAATACCAGTAAAAATGAAAAACTCCCAAATTCAAAAACTTTTTTTTATTCTTTTTTAATGGTATCAGGTTTAATCCATACAGTTATCTTAAACAAAGGCAGTTATACAATTTGACAAGAAATCAAAACAAACAAACAAAAAAAATTTGAAGCTCTGTTTTATATGGAAACGTTTACAATGACAAATGCAAATGGACTAAAAAGATGCCTCTCATACAACACTTTAAAATAGAAATTAGACACTAAATTGAAACATTGCATGGATTGAACCGCAGTAAAGCAACGAAAGCAACTGAAATTTGTAAAGCCTTAAATATGTTTCTTTAATGTAATTTAATTGATACCCAAATCCAAAAACTAGAGTGCTAAAACTCAAATTTGTGATGTCATAGGATATAAAGTCTGGAGCTGCTCCATAGACAGAAAATTGAAAAAAAAAAAAAAAAAAATGTTGACACCGAGAGCACCCAGGGGAATGTTCCGAGTATATTGGCACATTTTCTGTTTCACAACTGAGAACACTACAGTAGAATAAAGGTCATTTGCATACAAAAAAAGAAAACCAACATTTTGTGGGTCCATAAAATCAGGCTCCCATACATTGTTTTCGGAGCAGCTCCAGACTTTGTATCCTATGACATGACAAATTTGAGACTTGTCTGGTTTCTGGCTTTGAAAGAGAGTAGCTCCTGTTCATAAATACTGACTTAACCTTTGTATGCTCTGGAAATAACATATTGGAATTCTTCATTTAGGTGGTGTTCCCCTTTGAGGCTGATTCCCTGCCAAGCAGCCCTTCCTGACTGCTACTGCTGCTGAACTTGGAGAGTGTGAGATCCATTTATTTCTTCAATGTTATAGGTGATAACTAGGAAATAATATATAACAATGATGAATGAGTTTGGAGATTGCAGTCTTGCAAACCTTTGACATGTTTTTATAAAAACCATGAATTGATAATGATATCACTTGAAATTCCAACAGAAAGTGCACCGGAGTGTGTCCTTTTGGCAACTTCAGCACTCTGGACTTTCCCTCAGATTCAGTCTTTGTGAGGAAATCCAAAAGCTGGAGTGTGGGACTTTTTGTCTTCCCTTTCTGGCAGTGAGAGCAATTACACAAATACTGTCAATGTGTGCTTATGACATATGCCTGCAACTGAGCTTCACTATTGGTAATCCATGTTTTTATTGCCATTGATTGCTTTGTTTTTTAAAAAAACAAAACAAAACTTTAATCTTTCTCTAAATACAAGAGTTTCTTTTTTTGGAGTATCCACATCAGAAACTTTTTGTTTTTGGATGCTTATTAAGGCTTTCTGCCACAGCTTTTGCCATACTCCTTGCTGCTGCTTTGTTGCTGTGGTCTTTCCCTACTTCCTGCCCCCTTTAGTTTTGGCTTGTTGACATAAAATGCATCAGTTCTGTTGTGCCAGCATGGGAAAGTTGCCACAGACACTAGACACTGTGGCTACAATCAAATAGTCTTTTTCGCTTTGGAAGGTAGTTAACTGAGAGATAAGACCTGAAAGTGTCTATGTGGCAGCCATAATAACAGCGGTCAAATTCTCTAAATGCTAAGGAAAGGTGCTTCAGTGCTTCCTTTTTCCTCCTTTAGCATAGATTACACTGAACCATCCATTACCAAACAAAAAGAGATGATAATGTCTCACAGTTCCTTGCAACAGCCACATTTGAATTAAATATTTTTTGTTACTGGGTTGTCCAGGTTTAATTAACCTTCATGAAACAACACGGTAAAAGCACAGGGGGCAAAGTATCTAAAATACACTTATAGTAGTCCATCATGGAACATTGTGGTGTCATTAACACCAGACCCATGTCAGAAACATCCACTGTCACATAGTTACGTAGCCTTGTGTAAGTGCAGTCGGATTCTCTTAGCACCATAGTTGTCTTTTCCTAAGTCTATATGAATTCTCCTTCTAAACTTTCCTTGAGGAAAAGGCATAGGATGTAACTTTTTTGACTATTGGCCACAGCCCACAAAATACATAGAGCTTTCCTGGCAGTGATAGGCCTAATCGCCATTGTCTGAACTCGTTTGGCAAGGGCTTCAATTTAAAAGATGTTTATTTATATGTAAAAGGTCAATGACATGATTTGACACTATGGAATCCTCAACTAGTTGGCCCATTCATCAGCTCCAAATAAAACATTTAAATTTCCCCAGATTAATTTAAAGCAGTAGGTTTAGTAAATCTGATTACTAAAAGAGAATGATGTCTGATGATAGATGATATTATTAAATGACCAAGTCCAACATAGCTACAATAATTGATCAAGAATATTATACAGGTAATAAAAAATATTTTATTATCATTTTTTAATTTATGTGAAGATTGGGAAATCTGTGTTTTGTCAGTGAGAGAAAAACATTGGTTTCATGAGTGTGGCATTCACCAGCAGACAGTAGTTGTGCTGAACTTAAAGAGTGTGTACGGCATATGTGTAAAAATCTCACTCTCTGTCATCATGCCTAATTAATATACAGCTTTAAATGGTATCATCCGAACAGTTCTACAGCTTTAAGTAGAAATCGATACTAAGTTCATGTGGTCTCAAAAGTGACAACTTGCTTTTATGATTTCTAATGTTGGTCTTACTCCTCTGTGATTTTTGGAAGCTTATAACTCGTATTGACTGCTGTTCAAATGTATGTATGGCTTTATTCACTTTATCACCACTAAGTGTGCTATGTTATTCACTTTGAAGGACAGATGAATCAAAAGTGTGAAAGAAAAACTTCAGAGGAAGCTGCAAAGATCACTGATATGACATCTGAAGAGGAACCTGAGATGTGCCTCATAAAGACTCGTGAATGTAAGCCAAACACTTGCAAAATGTCATCTCATTAGGTAATGTGTTTTTACTCACTTCCTGGTGACTGTGACACACACTAGTTTTGTCCAGAGTCTTTAAGAAAGAAAAAATGTGTTTCAATTCAAGTTTTAATCCTTCCTTTCTGTTCCTGTCCCAATATAATTAATACTCTTTACTTTTTGTATGTGCCTTATCCTGCACAGTCCAAAGCTAGTTTGCAATGTTTTTTATTCTTTCTATCAGTCTCGATTTAAGGTTAACGTTGTTAGAGTCAATGACATGAGATGACCTTTTCCACCATCATTTGAATAACAACTATTCATTTCTTTTCTGGGGTTCAGTCTATTGCAGTAGTGTCTTCAGGCTCTACTTAAACATACATAAAAACTTTAACTAGTAGTTTGTGAATCCTTTGTGCTTGTTCCATCTCGTAAAACTGTTTTTCTTTCCCTAAGAGATACCCATCAATTCAAATCTTTTAATACCTAAGTGTTATATTCAATCCAAACCTCCAGCATGAAGCAACACACAGTAATAGTCATTACAGCTTGAACTGTTTTATGTTTGTATTTTTGCATTTTATATTTATAATTATAAATACGTTTTAAAACAATTTTCTTCTTGCCCTGGAACTGAGGCCTGCAGAAGTGTTTACTAAATATAATGTGGGCAATAGAGGTGGGGACTTCTACTTTTTTGTGTGTTAATATCATTGCAGTGTTGTCAAAGGCTCAGTTGCTGCTGTCTGACATAGAGCACCTGCTGGACCAGTGCACAAAAGGCCCCACCAACCGGAGACAGTGCAGAATGGTAAGCATAGAAGCAGGTGTGCAAATCCTTAAACAAACCTCATTGAACCAATTTACTAAGCCATTATCACAATACTTTCCTTACTTTCAGCAAGTAGTTTTATTTCTCTAATCTTAATACCGCCTTAAAGGAAT